CAAGCAATTCTCCTGCCTCAGCCTCCCGAGTAGCTGGGACTACAGGCGTGCGCCACCATGCCCAGCTAATTTTTGTATTTTAAGTAGAGACGGGGTTTCACCATGTTGACCAGGATGGTCTCGATCTCTTGACCTCGTGATCCACCCGCCTCGGCCTCCCAAAGTGCTGGGATTACAGGCGTGAGCCACCACGCCCGGCCTCATCTTTTTAAGAATTCAAGCTGTGATTCTTTTTTTTTTTTAATTCAGATTTATTTTTATGATTTTTTTTTTTTTTTTTTTTTGAGACAGCATCTCTCTCTGTCACCCAAGCTGGAGGGCAGTGGCGCAATCTCAGCTCACTGGAACCTCTGCCTCCCAGGTTCAAGTGGTTCTCCTGTCTCTGGCTCCCAAGTAGCTGGGACTATAGATGCCCGCCACCACGCCCGGCTAAGTTTTGTATTTTTAGTAGAGATGGGGGTTTTACCATGTTGCCCAGGCTGGTCTGGAACTCCCAACCTCAGGTGATCTGCCAACTCGGCCTCCCAAAGTGCTGGGATTACAGACGTGAGCCACTGTGTTTGGCCCGAGCTATGATTCTTTCATCATCACTTTAAAGTTGCAACTTTTTGCTTGGTTCTTTCAATCATAGACTGATTATTATTTATTATTATTATTTTTTGAGACGGAGTTTCGCTTTTGTTAGTCAGGCTGGAGTGCAGTGGCGCGATCTCGGCTCACCGCAACCTCCGCCTCATGGGTTCAAGCAATTCTCCTGCCTCAGCCTCCCCAGTAGCTGGGACTACAGGCTCGCGCCACCACGCCCAGCTTATTTTTTTGTGTGTTTTTAGTAGAGTTTCACTATGTTGACCAGGATGGTCTCGATCTCTTGACCTCGTGATCCACCCACCTCGGCCTCCCAAAGTGCTGGAATTATAGGCGCAAGCCACCGTGCCTGGCCAGACTGATTCTTATGTAAAATAAAATATATGACAATAGATGGTACTTTCTTTTTTTTGGAGACAAATTCTCGCTGTCTCTCAGGCTGGAGTGCAGTGGTATGATCTCAGCTCCCTGAAACCTCTGCCTCCCAGGTTCATGCAATTCTCCTGCCTCAGCCTCCTATATAGCTGGGATTACAGATGTATGCCACCAGATCCGACTAATTTTTGTATTTTTTTTTTGAGATGGAATTTCGCTCTTGTTGCCCAAGTTGGAGTGCAATAGTTCGATCTTGGCTCACCACAACCTCTACCTCCTGGGTTCAAGTGATTCTCCTACATCAGCCTCCCAAGTAGCTGGGATTACAGGCACGTACCACCAACACAAAATAATTTTTTGTATTTTTAGTAGAGATGGGGTTTCTCCATATTGCCAGGCTGGTTTTGAACTCCTGATTTCAGGTGATCCGCTCACCTTGCCTCCCAAAAGTGCTGGGATTACAGGCGCGAGCCACTGTGCCTGGCCTAGATGGTACATCTTTACTGAGGAAACAATTTAGGAACATTACTCCTAGTAAGACAATTGTTGATTATACGTAAAACAAAAACAAAAACAAACACTATCACGTACAATTTAGGGGATTTTGTATGCCTTTTTTTTTGTTATAAGTATGCAAAATTAGCTGGGCGCGGTGGCTCAAGCCTGTAATCCCAGCACTTTGGGAGGCCGAGGCGGGTGGATCACGAGGTCAAGAGATCGAGACCATCCTGGTCAACATGGTGAAACCCCGTCTCTACTAAAAATACAAAAAATTAGCTGGGCATGGTGGCGTCTGCCTGTAATCCCAGCGACTCAGGAGGCTGGGGCAGGAGAATTGCCTGAACCCGGGAGGCGGAGGTTGCGGTGAGCCGAGGTCGCGCCATTGCACTCCAGCCTGGGTAACAAGAGCGAAACTCCGTCTCAAAAGAAAAAAAAAAAAAAGTATGCAAAATGAAAGATGTTTGCTAAAACATCTTTTAACTTTTAAAGTGTTATTCCACATTTTTAAACTTTTCAAGTGTTATTCTGTTAATCACATTAAAAGAAAAGGCATTTGATCTTTGTATGATTGTTTCTATTTTTTTTTCTCTTTTTTTTTTTTGAGATGGTGTCTTGCTCTGTCGCCCAGAGCAATTAATGTTCCTAAATTGTTTCCTCAGTAAAGATGTACCATCTAGGCCAGGCACAGTGGCTCGCGCCTGTAATCCCAGCACTTTTGGGAGGCAAGGTGAGCGGATCACCTGAAATCAGGAGTTCAAAACCAGCCTGGCAATATGGAGAAACCCCATCTCTACTAAAAATACAAAAAATTATTTTGTGTTGGTGGTACGTGCCTGTAATCCCAGCTACTTGGGAGGCTGATGTAGGAGAATCACTTGAACCCAGGAGGTAGAGGTTGTGGTGAGCCAAGATCGAACTATTGCACTCCAAACTCCGCCTCCTGGGTTCAAGTGATTCGCCTGCCTCAGCCTTCTGAGTAGCGAGGATTACAGGTGCCCGCCATTACACCTGGCTAATTTTTGTATTTTCAGTAGAGACGGGGTTTTGCCATGTTGGTCAGGCTGATCTTGAACTCCTGACCTCGTGATCCACCCGACTTGGCCTCCCAAAGGGCTGGGATTACAGACCTCACCTGGCCAGTATGATTGTTTCTTGAACTTCATTTTGTGCTGGCTACTTGAAAAATAGGCACTACTGAGGCCTCAGCGCTGAGATTCAGCAACATTACCATCATTGTAATTCAAAGTTTAGTGTTTCTTTGTCTCTAAGAGTTGGGGTTACAATGCTGCCCAGCCAAGTCTGGAATGCCTGGGCTCAGGCAATCATCTTGCCTCAGACTGCCAAGTAGCTGAACTACAGGCATGCACAACCACACCTTGCTCAGTGTTCAGTTTCATGGGCAAGTTGTGGACAAGGTCAGTGTGACTTCTCCAAGCTTTTATCACTCAATGGCCCTAGAAGCCTTTGTGAGATAGATAGGGTTTTGAACAAATAACTCATTACAATCCTGGGCAAATACTCTACTAAATTGGTGAACTGAACATGTTTTGCTAATGGCCCAAAGGTCACCTCAAATTTTTTTGCCTAGAGGATTTATACTAGTTTGTATAATAATTTAGTTATACAAGGCCCTTAAGTCTAATTTTAAACAAAAACATACTTGGCAAAGCAAAATATAACCTAAGAAATAATTCTGATTTTCTGCCAATAACAGACTTGAAGTCATAAAACCTGGACACAAGTCTCACTTCCAAGGTGCTGAGTGACTGTATAAATCACATGTTTTCTAATTCCAGTTCTCTCAGTCTACAAAATTAGAACAAGGATGACTAGCTCATATTAAGTGTCCTCTAAACCATTTTAAAAATGCAAAATGCTGTTTTAACTAATGGTGCTTTCAATTTTATCCTTTTTATTGAGACAAGAGTCTCACTCTGTCACCCACGCTGGAATGTAGTGGCATAATCTTGGCTCACTGCAACCTCCACCTCCCAGGTTCAAGTCATTCTCCTTCCTCAGCCTCCCGAGTAGCTGGGACTACAAGTGCATGCCACCACACCTGGCTAATTTTTGTATTTTTAGTAGAGATGGGGTTTCACTATGTTGGCCAGGCTGTTCTTGAACTCCTGACTTCAGGTGACCTGCCCACCTTGGCCTATCAAACTGCTGAGATTACAGGTGTGAGCCACCATACCTGGCCCAATTGTATCTTTTGAAGCAATGATTCCTTCTGATCTCCAGGCTGCTCCTCATCTTTATGCTTTAGATTGAGATTTATCCTTCAAGAAGCGTTCTCTGAACACTTCTAATTAGACTGGGAGGGGTACCTTTTCTATGTCATGCCCATCCCCCCACTTGCGTTGTTTCATAGCACGTATCACACTGTGCTTTGTTTGTGGGTTTACTGATGCAGGGACCCCTCTAATTCATTTTAGTAGTTCATTAGTGTCTGTCCCTCTATCTCTCCCAGATAGAAGAAGGCATCAAACACAGTTCACTGATGACAATTTATTATAATCTGTTAGTAGCACACAGACAAATATTAATTAAACCAGAACTATGTCTACACAGAAGTGGGCAATGACATGTGCCATTCTATAGGGAACTGTGTGCACTTAATCATCATGTTTTAGTATTTTGATCTTCTGCTTATGCCGCTCAATTTCTTTCTGCAGACGCTCAATCTCCTTCTTATGATGAACGATCTCTTCTTCATGGTGTTTTTTCAAAGCTGCCAGTTGTTCTCTAGTCTGTGCTCTACAAAGACACAGTGGCTCAGGGTTTAATGTCAATCCTTCACCCCAAACAGATCTCTAAGCATAACTCGTAATACCTAAGCAAGGAACAGGTGTCCCAATCCCATGGGAGTCTGGCTGGTCATCCTCTTCTACTCCTCAACTAGTGAAAGAATACCCCATCTTAAATTGAGGTGTAGCCATCTTAAGGAGAAGACCAAAATGATTCCACTGCTGCTAGTGGCTTAAATTCCATCATTAACAGCTTATTGCTTTCGGATTCCTCTTTGCAATAGAAAACTCCAGAGAGATGTGACACAAGTCCCTAATACCTAAGCAAGGAACAACCCAAGGAACTTGACTCCCCTTTGGGAGGAAACAAAGGAACAAAATGAGGAAGACAAAAGGGTGTGGTTAAAAGACAAATACCCATCTCCTATTTTAATATGTCTAGGGCTTTCTTTGCCTATAGACACGCATGGCCCACTGTAAGGCCAAAAATGGGTCTCTTGCATGGGCAGTAGTTGGCAGTTCAATTTAGGTCCCAAGAAGGGACTGAATTACAATGTTGGTTTGGCCACATTTAGGCCTCAGTTCTCCTAACTATAAAATGTAGGGGCTCAATTAGATAGTCTCTTAAGGGCTGTATTTTGTCTCTATACAGTATGGCAGGTGCATGGTGATAATTCTCAACAGAAGGCAGAAGTGAACGGCCAAAGGACAAGCAAAAGCAAGATTAATTCCTCACTGCTCTCCAGAGTGGACAGAAGTTAGTTAAAGATAACTCAGGGCTGGGAAAGGGAGTAGATAGGCCCAGCCCATTCCATACTCCCAAGCAGGAGAGGGAAATCTACAGGTCTAGGCTGAGCTGAGTAGGGCAAAAGCCTTTAGGAGATGGTGTAGTCCAACCATAAGCAGCTCCCATGACCCTCACTCGTGGAGTCGGGGGTCTGGAAACGCCCGAGAAGCCTGAATGCATGCAGGCTTGCAAAGCTAAGGCGTGCTGGGGAGGAAAGAGAGCGTAGAGGGGGTGACAGGTGGGTGAGGGCCGAGGGAGTCAGGCTGGGAGGCGAGCATTGCATGGTGGGATCTAGACCCTGTGCGAAGAATCTGGGGGCGTTTCGCACGACCAGAGGAGAACTCCAAGCGGGGGATGGTAATGATAAAGAAGGAGTTGAGCCGTGGGTTGTTTTGGAGACTCGCCAGTGGAAATGGTTTGGGGGCCTGAGCCTGTTCTGCAGGGAACTCGGAGTGCCCTATAGGTGGCAACGGTCGGCACATCAAGGGCCCCGAGAGTTCTGCTGGGGGATGGGATGCCCCAAGGCACCAGGTAGGAATAGGTGGGGCGATTGGCAGTTTAAGGATTGGAAAGCCCTGGGAGATCTCGGGCTGGACTTGGGACCCGGTGAGCCTCACCGGAAATATCGTTCCTCTTCAGCCTGCTCTCTCTTTCCAAAGGCCCCACCAGCTTCCCGGATGGAGCCCGCGCCCCGATCGAGATTCTCGGACTGCAAAGAGACAGGGACACTGGTAAAGATGCGGAAGCGAAGATGGGATCCGCCCTCGCGGCTGGGGCAGCGGACACTGTCGCAGCGTACCTGATCCGAGCCGAAGCTTCGGGCTTGCATGGTCCTCACGCCCCAAACGCCAAGCCACGTCCTCGCCGCCAACGCCGTTACTGCCATTGCTGCTGGAGCTGCACCTCTGGCGTCTCTGCCGCAGCAAGCAGTACTTGGGTACGCGCTAACGACGGGGACGACCAAGCACCCAATCTGGTCGATGGAGGGGCGGATGAACACTGAAGTAGCGAATCATGGGAGAGCGGAGGCGGGCTTCCTGGAGCTCACAGCGAATCCCGAGCAAGAGGCGAGCCTATTCTTAGCCAATCGCTAGCAAGGGCTCCGGGCAATGGACTGGAAAGAAGAATGACCGAAGAGCTTAGAGAGCTGGGTAAGGAGAGTGCCAGAAGCCGAAATTTCGGCTCTTGGACCCATCAGAATGAGGCGTGGCGTCCACCCCCAGCCCACGACTTCAATCCTAAAGTCGTTGTTATTTCAAAGCTCAAAGGAAGTTTTCCCTTCCCTGGCCTGCTACCGTCAATAAAATGGGGAAACATGGAGTTGGGAGCTGTGTCCCCGGATGCTGACGTCCAGGATACCGACGTCCGACGTGCCTCGGCTTAGAGATACGTAAATCTCATTCGTTTGTTATGAGGGGTGCCAGTGTTCTGGAGGGGCGCGGTGACTCACGCCTGTAATCCCAGCACTTTGGGAGGCCGAGG